CTCTCAGCCCGTGGTTGCGATTGTGGCTCGGGAGGTCATGCGGGGATTTTCGGTTTGAGCTGGATTTCTTCGAGACCCTTGGCAAAAAAAAACAACTTGTTTGGTTCAAGCTGGATTCCTATAGTCGTAGACGTCCTTGGCAAAACGAATGAATAGCCTGATATGAAGACCTCAATTCCTCACTTGCCAAACAGTCTCAATTTCTTCTTTACCACGACTGAAGGTGTCCACGAAATCAACATGTGGATTGAACAAAAGGCCAAGTATCTCATACTACCTCCGAAGCCGACCAGCCCGGCCCAGCCATGCCAGAGCTAAATAACCTTAAACACTTCAAACAAATGGGCAACATATGAATTCTACACTGCTTCCAATGCCTTCAGCCTCGGGCCCTCCACGCATTTATTTGCAGTAAATTGAGTTTAGTGGTAGACAAGAAGTTGAGACCTGGCCTATGGGCCTGAAGCGGTCTTCTCAGCACTGACGTCCCGGAGCTTGGGGGGTGAGCTTCTTTCAGCCGAGTTGCCAAGTCTCCCAAGACCTTGGACCCATAGCGGTGGGACCGGCTGTGGGCGATGGTGAGCCCCGCGGCACGGCAGGCCGCAAGCAGCCGCTGGCACCCAGCCATGCCGCTCCGCACGGAGGTGAGGTCCTGGAACACAGGAAAGCACAAAAAAAACCACAGGACCCATAAGAAACCATGTGGGGGTGTCACTTCTTTGGATCCTTAACATGGGTGATTTCCTTGTGGTTGTTTCCTTTTAAAATCGAAAGGAAACCCAACGCAACAAAAGATCCCACCCAAAAAAGACAACCCAACTGGTGGTTTTTTTTCAATGGGTGACTGGGTGGAACACAAGAAACAGCGGTGTGATCCCCTGGTGGTTTGTTAAGGCCCTGGAATTTGCTTTGGTTTGCTTTGCGAAGGGGGAGAAGCCAAGGAATGCAGTCTTTTGTACCATACTCGCCCATTTGGGAAACCGCCCCATGTTGGAAAACACATGGAAACACCTGCGCCCTTATTCTGGGAAACCCCCACATACTTCAATCAGCCATGTTTCAGGAAACGCCCTCTTTGATACAGGGATGTACGTTTTGTTTGGCCTCTCATGTGACTTAACTCCAGGGGTCTAATTAGTAGAATGTATTGACGCCGGGCTTGAGTCTGTTCAAAGGTAACTTCAAGGAATGACACCCTGCCCATTTCGGCTGGAACAAATCGAGAGTGCAAACGGACCTCGATGGCCCTGAGGATAGTTAGAGTCAAACCGACCGCTCGTTCCAACAAAAACAACAAGAGCCCCCCCGTGGACTTCAACGCCCTGCTGAGACTGCCGCTCCTTGTAGTGCTGGCCAACGCGGCCAGTGGGCTCCAAGAAGTCCGTCTGCATGTCGATGAGGACCAAAGCCGTGTCTTTGGGATCCACCGGAAAGCTCCTGTCTGATTCATCGCTGGTGGAAAGGCAGGGGGAGCTTTTTTCGAGTCCAATCCCACAAAGGGAAAGACTGCAAATCGAAGCGAAGCGGGGTTGAAAGGTGTTGGACGAGTCATCTTCTTGGGTGCCTCCTTTGCTCACCATACAGTAATTGGGAGGTGGGACTTTCTTTTGCCCATTTTGTTTGTTCGGTCCTGGTCGCCCCCGGCGAGGCATTGCAGGGGATGGACACCTTGCCGAAAAGCATGAACAAACACCCTTCAAATCAGCCTCCAACGGTAGTTTGATCAAATTTGACTTGCTGCCAAATAGAATAGAAGGTTTGGACAACAGCAACCGCACACTTATCCATCACTCGGTTTTCGTTCCCGGCAATGTGGCATCCAAAAATCGCAGCCGGAGATAGGTCACTTTGGCCCAGACCTTGCCAGGGAAGGGCTCCAGTGCGCTCTTGGCCCTCTGCTGGGCGTTCTGGCGCCAAACCGCGTCCCCCGGGGAGGGGAAGGCCGTCCAGCACGCCTGCGCTTCAGCCCCATGTTGCTCAAGGAATTCCTACGGAAAGGCTTTAGTACGGCATAAGCCCTGCTCTAAGGCATGGGGATCCCTGGCAAGTCCCTGGCAGCTTCCTTGTCATAAGTTAACGTGCGCCGGTGTCACCCAACACTTGTGGATAGTGCTCGAAGGCAAACCGAAAGAACTCAGAAAATCAAGATCAGGGCGCCCACGAGCTTAGGCGGAAAGGAGGTATTATGCACTTCTTTCCAGGTCCCTCTGCATGCAAACCAAGATTTAAGGCCCTTTAGGGATAAGGGCGACCGTGGTGTTGCTTCCTCGAACAGGGTTGAAGATTCAACAAGTTCCTCACACAAAGGCCCAGCATCAACACCCCTGCGCTGATCCTGGAGCCATGTCAAGGCGCAGAACACGAGCTGCAGTTCTCTAAGACACTTTCTCCACAGAACACTCATTGGCATTTGCGCAAACACAAGCACCCCTTCTCTGCCAGTGCCTCCTCATCCTTCTTGGCTTTCTTGGGTCCGCTCTCCTCCAGGCAGACTTCGGCACCCCGGTGGCATGTTCAATCCTTCCAGTTTCCCAGGGACCCTGGTAGGACCCCTTGCCCATAGCTGGGACCACTCGATGCCTTCAAAAGGGAGGGGGGAGGGGGGGCAAGGCCTGGTTGAACCGATTTGCCCAATGATCTCAACCACATTATGTTGGTTTCTCTCTTGCTTCGATGACTACTGCCATGTGTCTTGAGTGGCATGCCTCTGCAACCTCCAAACTCCACGTCTGTTGCTTTTGTGGTTTGTACATACGGGTGTGCAGTGTTCAGGGTCGTTTGGCGTAAGCCACCTGTTGCTTTCCATGCAGTTTGACAAAAAACAGCTGCACACATGAAACATGTTTCTTAAATCTGCAAAACGACGTGTTGACCATCATATATCCACGTCCTGATTAACAGTCCTTCCTGGTTGGTTCAAACAAGACCGCACCAGCCGCTGAAGGGAAGCGCACGTTCAATTGGCATCGTTTCAGCCACGAACGGAGGAATCTCTAATCCTGGTGAGCAACCCACAGTGGGACACCACTAGAAGGGAAGCCACCACAGACCATCTGGCATAAGGATTAAAGTTATCCTGCTACCGACAGAAAACCACAAATTTCCATCATCTGGCCAAAGGACCCGGAAACTGATCACTCCCCTCTTGGGTTGCTCTTCATGAAGACCGAATGCACACCACCAGGGTAGGGCAAACCCCTGTTTAAGCAAGCCACTGTTCACTAAACAATCTCCTTTCGAGTCCCCTTTGAACATTGCTTGGGAACCAGGTGTTGGTCAAGACGAGTTTGCCCAGAAGTTTATAGGGGTAACCCTTAGACCTTTAAAAAATCCACAACATCCTCCAAACACCTAAAACCCTAAATCACTTGAATGTCCTCGTTGGTTTGGTTTGCTGGCGCGCCTCCAGGAGGCCCTGTAGGAATTCCACGCAGTTCGCAGGCTTCGTCTCCTCGATCTCCGCCAAAGCCTTTTCGAGGAGATCCTTGAGACCCTGCTCCTAGGCGCCGCGCTCTTTGACCGGGAATCAGATTACCCCAACATGGAGCCGCGCAATCTGCCATTAGAGGAAGCCCGTTTGGGGGACTCCCATTTCTGCGAATTTGCAAGAGCAGCCAGCAACTTGGGCCTTTGACTCAAAAGAAGCCAAAGGAACATTCTGGCGGTTAAAAGCTGTGTTGGCCAAGGGTGGCCTCAGTGGCAACCATCTCTTTCTGAGCCGTTTCTGTTTGGAAGCCAGGACGGCATGCAGTCCAAAGGCCACTGAACGACTAAGGAACATGCGCCGTTTCTGCTGTGAAAAACAAACATTTTGTGGCAAACCCATCAACTGTCTTGGTCTTGCTGCTTGCTGACGTTGCTTTTGGGTTGCACACGATTTGGTTGGCCTTCATTCTTCCAAGGGAGGGGCAAAGCAAACCACGCGAAAGCACGCTCCTCAGGAAAAAGTGTGGCTCATAAAGCATGGCTAGCTACTGGCTCGGCATGTCATGTTCGTGAACTACCGTATTCACCTGCGAGTTGCGGACACAGAGTCACAAGACATCGCAACAGTCGAACTCAGTCAAGGCAAGGTTCATCCTCTCTGTGGAACACACCCCGCTTCAACACAACTTGTGGTGCACTAGCTGTGCCCCCTGCAGGCTGGCTGGCCAAACCGAGTCCCAAAGACAGTGGATGTGGTCGTCGGATGCTGTGGGAAATGACAAATGACTCCTTTGTCACTAGAAAGGGAATCTTCTTGGTATCACTGAACCATTACCTTGAAACCAAATTGTCCAACGGTCCTCAATATACTTGCCGCCGCTGATGGAGATTGCCATGTTGGAAGCTGGCCGCTTCTTGGGCGCCATGGCTGGGAGAAATGCCAAAGCCTCACTACTTTGAAGGCTTGGACTAAGGCAGAGCCATCAGCAGGTTCAAAAGCCTGCGGCGGCGCAAACAAATTTCGAACAGATTCCAGGACCAGCACGTTTTCTTGGGTCCAGTCAAAATTCCAGGAACAAATGCTTAGATGAGCTTTGGTTGGCCAACGCATTGGCTTAGAGCATGCTACCCGCGGCGCTGATTTCCTGAACCAGACCCTTTCAAGTTGTGCGTTGCTTTTAGTTTAGTATGCCAAAGTTTACAAGTTGGCTTCCCAAACTGCAGCACATCCGAACCCCAACCAACATATCCAAACCCCGACTGTTGCCCTGTGGCATTCAAACCGCACGCCGGCGGTTTGTGAATTGTCCACGCCGTTCAGACCAAAGAGCTGAAGGAACAAGTGGGAAAGACTCACTGCACTACTGAAAAACCCTTACCAGCCTTCTTGATTCGTTCAGATTTTTCTCTTTTGGCCTATTGGCTTGAAGGAGACACGTAAACGCAACAACTCCCTGCACTTGCGTAAGTCCGGAAAACATGCTTCCAGGAGTGACAGCTCCTAAATTGGAAGCTTTGTGAGCTCCCCTTGCCAATCGGACTAGGGACGGCCCGCCGACGGCCCGCCCCGTCGCCTTCGCCACTCCGAAGGACCCGGCGGCTGCAACCTTGGATCTTGGCTTGCTCGGCTGGACAAGCGGATGCTGCGGGTCACGGGAACGCTGGCATTTTGCACGTGCCCCATATTTGTTCTTTTCTGGCTTGGTTTTTCCCTCCGCAACACGAATTACCGTCAAACAGCGTGGTACAGGGTAGCCTCCACAATTATTTTGCTATACCCTACAAGGCCTAAGGGTCAAGCCCTTCTAATGCACAGGACCCCGTCCGACTCCATCGGATTGTCACAGGCCCTACCACGCTCATCACCGAATGAGTCACCGCCTGCATCGCTGTTTGCGTGGCTGTGGAGGTCCAAACCCCGTGTCATTGTGGACAAAGATAGCCCTTAGAACCAAACTGAAATCAATGCCATCTGTCTTCAACCCAACTGACTTAAAAAGGACACCGATGATCCCCACCGCACGGGCAAACATGCAGGGCATGCAAAGTTGAAACTCGGGCTGCAGCAGGGGGGCAAAGTGCGCCAGGCGCTGGATGCTCCACAAAGGATCGTAGGCCTTACAAGACAGCTATGCGGGTTGCTGGCTTGAACAGGAGAAATCCCAACTAATTCTAATGAACAGGGTTCTCGAAAGGATGCATCCCAACACCACCTTCTTCGGGGAAACGATGAATCAGCTGGTAAAAGTGATTGTTTGAGTGGCTAATGTACCCATTTGGCCCCCAACATATGATGCCTGATGCCTGGCCAGGCTAAAGCAACAGGCCAATGAGGTTGAAATGAGTTGGTTGCTTTAGTTTCTGCTTTCCATTCATGTGCTTTGTAATTCTGTGTTGCCAGGCGCTCCAATGCCTTGCGTGCCATGAACTGATTGTGAGAATGGATTGCAGAAGCGATCCATCACTTGCATCTTTGCAAATCCGGCTTTGCATTTGCCTCGTGCCGCGTCACGCCAAGCTCGTTACAAGCAATCTCAGGGCAAAAGCAACCCCTGGATGTAACAAAGACCTGTTGCTAGATCAAGTTGGGTCCATTGCAGCCTGCAGCTTCGCTTTGCGAGTCAGCAAGCAATTCTAAAATGCAACCTCTATCCATGCTGTGGGGTTGGCTCTTTGGTCTCAGCTTTTTTCCATCAGTTGTATCTCCTGCCGGCAGCCAGCATCCCATCATCACCTTCAGCATCACCTCCTGACAGCGGTGCGGGCATTTGCGGTGGCCGCTTGACGAAGCATACAACTGGATGGTCAAGGAATCAGTAAAGTATGTATGTCAGCAACAAATTTTGTTCTTTGCTACCTGCTATGTTTTTGCAGAACCAAGAACGCACAGATCTACAACACATGTCAAGCGCAGCCAAACAGACCCGTCCTGTTCCATGTTGAAACGCCGCAGCCGCAGCCGCCGCAGCCAGCCCTGAGCCAAGAAGCAGCGCCTTTTGGCCAAGCCTGGCGCAGCTAGCAACCGTCGCGTGTTTGTATGCAGTTGGTTGGCTCACCATGCTTAGCCGTGTTTACTTTCCGAGCCTGTGTTCCAGTGCACATAGCATATGTTTGGAGAATACCTTACGGGATTGGAATAAAATATATTCCTGTGACAGTACTATGCATGTGTATATATTTGTATATATATATATATCTCTATTTGTATATATATATATGTATATATATATATATATATTAACTATCCCAATTTGCTCGGTTTCTGGCCAACCCAGGTGTCAGGGACGTCTCAACCGAATCAGCTTGTCCCACTTTGGCCCGTTTGGATTTGCACCTCACAACGCAGCAAACAAAGTGCCAATCTGTGATGTCCTCTCATGTTGTTGACCTGCAGATTCCCATTTGTTGTTGCCCCCTCAATCATTGCGGAATATATCTAACACGCATTCACAAACATAAACGGGCGTCCACCAATTTATGGTTGGGGAGATCTCCTACTAACTCATTCCTTCTACGGCCTCCATGTTCATCCTTTGGGAGGTTTGCCAAGAGCATTCAAGGCAGAAACCTGTTTGGATCCAAACATCATGCGGCCTTGGTGGGAGGAAGAACAATAAGAGCTAATTTGGGCTCCCCCCCCTCTCCTTCCCCTGCAAGCCGCACAAAAACAGCTCAGTCTTCCGAACAAGGCCTGGCACTTCCGTGTTTGTTGGTGGGGTAAGCATTCGATTCTGTCCTACAAGAAACAAAAAGTAACAGTTAGTTTCATGGCAGGCCTCTCCATAGCCTGCTGCGGGGACTCTAGGGGGAAGACCAGCTCCCGGAGGTCCGCCGGCAAACGGAGCCTGGAGAGCTCAGCCTTGGCGTGTACGAGCTTCCCTCCACAAAGCCTTGCGATTTCAGCTTTAAAGCAACCTCAAACTGGGAACCCTCCATGCGGAAATGAATTCTCATTCGGGGCCCCTTGGTGGACATCATTTACCAGGGGAGTTCGGTCCACCAATCATGTTTCGGTTCCATATTGAATTCATACCCATGTGTCCCCGTTCAAACCCCACCGGACTAAACAGAAACTCACTTTTCAATAGGCTCACAAATGCTTCACGAGGTGATGTGTCATTCCTGAAGAAAAAACAGCTATGCAGGACCACTGGCAAACTCTGAGCGGATCAAAACGTGCGGGGAGGATGGCACCCCCAGTCGTGTTCGAGGGATCCCCCTCTCTGAGACTTGCGTATTCTTCGGCAAGGATATGGAAACAGCTGCGTCGACTCATTGTGTTGTGTATTCCCTTGGCCTTTCGTTCAGAAGCCCTTATCAAACGATCAGATTCTGTCCGAGTAGGATCGAACCGCCCCCTCCCGGTCCTCAGAGGTGTTCAAGGGCCACTCCGCCTGCATGAGAGCCAACTAAAGTCAGTCCATCTAAGAATCTATGTTCAACCTGAAAGGAGACACTAGATGCCACTGCTCCCTTCATGTCCGAAAAGAAGATCATAAAACGGAGGCTATGCCGCAATGCCTTTGTCTTTAATCCCAATTTGCCACGTCATTATTTCTCGTTTGCCGCGCCTCGCGGCTTTCCAGGACCTCGGCCGCCAAGACCTGGAAGGCACTGAAGGCCACCCCCTAAAGAAAGGCAGAAGCCGCACGGCTGAGCAAATTCTCTCGCAGCATCGAAATGCCGCAAAACACCTTGCGCGCGGCTGTGCGGGAATCACAAACATACCTTCTCGAAATAGTCCCATGCGCCAATGCCGCGTGAGCGCGCAATGCCCTCAACTGTCCATGCACACCGACTGATGTCACCTATTCCTATTGTACAAATGCATGACTTGGACATTGCGAAGGCTTGACGGTAGTCACCGACCAGTTACTGGAGTTTCTCAGGAAACAAAGGTGTGAAGTCTGAACAGGTCATGACAGAATAGTTCCACTGATAAGGCAACATTGCCAAAACGTTTGGCAACATGTTGGACTCTTTTCCTCATGAAGAGTCTTGAAGTTGCAAACGCCGCATCGTTTGAGACTTGCCTTGCACATGTTCTGACCGTTTTACGGGGTCCAATGATTAAGCGTTTGTGTTGGACATGATCCAACATTCTATGGCGCTCATAGCAAGGGGCCAAGAACCAAGAACTAAAATAGCTCGGGATTATGTTTGGCACTTTTGCTTGCGCTCTCTCCAGCTTTGCAGCCAAGGGTTAGTCCAGCGTGGGGTTCGGAAGTGTTGTCTCAAAACGTGTCAAAATCGTTGCCGGTTTGTTGCTGTATCGCTTAAAATGCAATTATAGTCTTTTGACCCCAAGCAGGTCTCCGCCGGTGTTGCCATTGTAAGTGTGGAGCGCAGTTGATTAATCTCATCTCTCATACAGGCCTCAAAGAAGCGCATGCAGGACTTCTATAGTTTCCTGGCAAGTTCATGTTGTAGTTCTTGGCTTGTAACTCTCCCCGAGTCGTGCCAGCGTCCAGTTGGCCATCTTGCAGAATTCTCAATGAACAGTTTTGTACCAATGCTGCATGAATGCCACATCATGCACCAATTCAATTGAGGGCGCCCACTTAGCAGCTCCAAAGCAAATCATGCGCCTTCCCCCGAACAAGAACCCTCAAAACAAATCACGGGCTGCAATAAGGCCAACCAGTCCAGCCAGTCCTGGGCCGTTGCTGCTAAACTGGAACTTCAACACATATACAACCGCTCTCGGAAAAAAACACGATGTGTTGCACGGAAACACGGGCTTTGAATCTTACGTTTGCCGAGTTGCCCCACCCCATACCGACGAAAAACGGAAACACGTTGTTGCTCGTGCATGCTTTCTTTGTTGGAAGGAAACAAGCAGACCGGATAGCAACCGAAAATAGCCCCACATATAAGCCTGGCGTGCACTTGCGAGACCAAGTGCAAAACCCACGCAATTAGTTGAGAAACTGAGCCACTTCCCAAAGCCATCGCCTTGTGGCTCCGCAGCAGTGCCAGCAGCAGCGCCGCATCACCGGACACTCCCTGACCAATCTCGCGCGTCTTTGTTAGGAAAACATACCACGCGCTTCATGCAAGGAAAATGAACACGGGATACTGTGGGTGTCGCCGGAAAGCCGAAATCCGGAAATGCCGCAAAGAAGTGACGTGGACCAGATTTACAGTATCATGTGGCAGGACATGAAGTTCCTGCAAGTACAAGTGATTCTTGGCAAAAAGGCCCGAAATCCCGGCAGCAAAGGCCGAACATCCTGCTACCTGCCCAAGGCAACAGGTTCAACGGTTGATTCCAGCTGCTCCGCTCCTCTTCAGGGTTGATGTGCAGCAGGCCGCGTCTGTCAACCTCAGAGGTAGTCTCACACAACTCACCCCCTGAAAGCAAACACACAGAAGGCCGAATTGAAACCTTGGCATTGGCATGTCTTTAACAAAGTTAACCTTTGAACAACCTCTCAGCCGACCATCAACCAACTTCAAACAGCTCCCCCGTCCAACTTTCTAAACGTTATGCTGGCGTAGAGTGCATTTGCAACTCGCCACAATTGACAATGGACTTGCATTTGGAGACTCAGTGTTACATTTTGTGAGCAACCCCACTAAGGTAGACGTCAACCCTGTTGCCCTTTCAGGAAATCAACCACCCCTGGGCCTAACTTTACCTTGAGGTAACAAATGGAACGCTTGGGGGAGAACCAACGCAACATCGGGAAACCACCCACCCACGGGTTGGTTTCATACCTTGGGGGTTCGCAATGCATTGTTTCAGCTGACTGGACTTCAAGAGCCCCGTGCCATGTTCTACCAAATTTCCGGTGAAAACCAGATTCTAATATTCCTCCCTGCAATCATGAAAGGATATGAGAGGTTCGGGAAAAGATTGTCCTATGACTGTGGAATGTCCTCGTTTAATAGCTTTTGGCCTTTCGGGGATAGATTCCGCCACTCACAGAACTTGGCCTGAAACCTGGCTTTTCGCAACTGCGGTGGTGCTCCTTTGCAAGCAAACATGGAACCCCAGCACATGTTTAGAGGCATCCGTCCCGCCACCCCCCGGCCATTTTTAAGGTTCTATGTTGATTTGTGGGGGAGCAAGACTTACGCCACGTCCAAACAAAAACACAGTCGACGCATTTTG